CGTCGACCAGCTCTCGCCGACTGTCAACATGCTGCAAATTGGCCGACGTCTCGAAGCATCCCTCCAAACTATCTTAGAGGAAAACCTAGACTCCGAGTCCTAGGGCTCGACGAAGAACGACACTATGACAACCGCCGCCATGACAACAGGCCGAAGAGCTCGAGGGCCAGGAGATTTCATCGATGCCGACCAGATGTTTTGACTAAAGCTAAGTACATCTCCTATATCTGCATTTAATACAACTTTCTCCAATTATTTTCTCTGAGTTTTCGCCATGCTTCTCCAATTATTATTTCTCTAGTTATTCTCCATAATTAAATGTCACCACGTTTAATATCTCCGTGTTTACGATGCTCCATAATGCAATATCTTCTCCGTAAACTCGCCGACCAGCCACGTTCTCACTTGCGTTACTAGAAACAACCATGTTCTCGATCTCACTCCTACACGTGCATGAGCGCCAGCCCTCTGCGTTATGGGTGGTTGGTAGTGGCTCCTCGGCGACGCCTGTGCTCTTACGCGTACACGGGTGCCAGCCACTCCGCGCTATAGAGTTTGGGCTAGTTGGGGCTGGCGATGCGATACAGAACCAACTGGCAAGAAGTTACTCATATTTAAAATATGAACACTTCAAACAAACATAATGTTTATCTACTCCGCTCTGATGCCTTCATCGCCGAGTTCGTATATTTTATTTTACATCATGTACTACCCATTCTACACATTTATTTCATAGGGGCATGGCTCGATCAATGAGTTTACGCTCAGGGACTGGAGAAGATGATCATCGTCCGGGTGGTCGGACCACCTATCAGACGGACTTCACCGCCAACCAACTGGTCGAACTGCTCGACGCTCACTCCTGCTCGGCGCTCACTTCACCGCCGACCAGTTGATTGGACTGTTCATCGCATGGGCTTCATCATCAGCTACGCTGGGGACTCTTTGGTGCTTGGACTCTTCATGCAAGCGTCACCAGCTAAGCCGGGGACTCCTCGGTGTTTGGATTCTTCATGCAAGCGTCACCAGCTAAGCTGGGGACTCCTTGGTGTTCGGATCCTTCGTGCAAGCATCGCCAGCTAAGCTAGGGACTCCCTTAGTGGCTGGGTCTTGCTATGTCTCATCGGTGTGCTATTAAGCTACTCCATGTTGTTCGAATCAGGGTGCTGATCTTGGGCAGCACGTCTAGAGTCTTGATACGCGCATGTCAGATGATGTCGGCAAGCTTTCAGAATTCTTTTCTTTGACCCTGCTACAAGATTCATTCTTCATCTTCCAGCAGGCTCGGGGACTAAGTGGCTACTTCGAACTGCACACCGAATATTCGCCGACTTCTCCGCAATATCATTAAGGCTCAGTAACTCCTACTGTACAACCATTACTCTGGTTTTTTCTCCATGATTTGATTTTTCCAAGATTTCCACTTGTGGTTCGAGGACTTCGTCAACAATACGACTTGGTTCTTCACCACACTAGAAACTTTCTTCTATTCATTGTTGTTTCTAACCCTGGCACCACGTGACTACGTCACCTACTGTCAGGCTCAGGGACTAAGTGGGCACACTTCACCTTGCGGTGAATATGCTTTTCTCATTTTGGGGCTTCGCCCGGGGACTGGCTGCCTGCTCGGCTGGTCTTATGCTTTTCTCTTATTTTGGACCCTGGCACCACGTGACTACGTCACCTACTGTCAGGCTCGGGGACTAAGTGGGCACACTTCACCTCGCGGTGAGTGTGATTGCTTTAATCTGGAAGACTCCGCGTCTAATGAAGTTGAAGAAGACTATCTCCCTTTCTTGTGGTCGGACTCTAAGTGGGCACACTTGGTCCACTGCGAGGAAATTTTTGAATTTGAACTTGAGCTCCTTACATCCTTATGGCAAGCCTTACTTGGGATACACTGCTCGGCGACGGTTCACAACTGCTCGGCAACTCATTACGGTGGTCGGACCATGAGTCTGACTGTTCGGCTTTGTTCACACCTGCTCGGACAAGCTCAAGACGGCGTTGCACAATGGATACAAGGCGCTCGGGGACTAGCTGTGGGGGGTATGACCCCGGATACCCACGATAGACCACATGGGCTGCGCTCCCAGGGGTGGCCCAGCCCACAAGACGAAGCCTTGCGGAGCATGACGCTGTTCGGCGCGTCCCGTAAGACACCTGAAAGATATCCTGAAGATACTACGAGATCTGTGAGGATACGTATGATCTCATGATTCATGTAATCTGTTATTACTTTCCGGTTATCTCCTAGATCTAACCGACTTGTAACCCTGCCCCGGACTATATAAGGCGGGCAGGGACCCCCTCCAAACACACGCAACATCATCTCATATTCAATACAATCCAACAAAGATATAGGAGTAGGGTATTACGTCGCGCTGACGGCCCGAACATGTCTAACTCTTGTGTCTCTGTTGCCTTCTTGTTCTCGATTACACGCATATCTGCCGATCAATCTACCTTCGTGGGATACCCCTCGGAAGACTGACGACGATATTTTGTCGACAGATGCCATTCAAATCGTCAACAATCATTGCATACATAAGAAAAAGTATATATAACAACTAAATAAACAATTGTGTTACAATACAAAAGAAAGCTATTTTAAAAAAAACACCAAATGGTTTTTAGAAAAAGGAAAGAGAATTAATTAGCCCTATGTCTCTAACCTTCACCTGGTCAATCTAATTCTTGGGCCAAAAAAATCATGGTATAATAACATGAAAAGGAGATAAAAAGGATAATAGGAAAAATAACTCTAGATGCCACTGGAGATCAATTAGAGGGAACAGACAAGCAAAACATTAATTATAATTAACTAGCTAATTAGAGGATATACAATGGGGACGAACTAGATGTTTGTAGGGATGCAAGACAGACGAATCCGCAAATAGGCTTAATTTTACTAGTTACTTGCATAACCCACAAAATTAAGCCTATTTGCATGTTCGGGGAAGCATTGCATCCCTAAATGTTTGGTAGCCAATAATAAAAAAAAGAAAAGAGATGGAGAAAATAATAGAAAGACCTAATTCTTGATATTATTAGAGATTAATATGGAAAAGGATAAGGGACTTGATTGGTTAGGCTCCAAAATTTGCCCTACCAAAATTAGGGCAAGCCAAAACAAGGGCATGCCAAATTCCAGTTGCCAAAACCTAGGCAAGAAATTTAGTATTGGGTCTGCCCTGGCTAGGCAGATTTTGGAGTCCAACCAAATGACTGCCTAAGTTTTGGGACTGTCCTAGTTTTGGCCGAGCAGATTTTGGAGCCCAACCAATAAGGCCCAAGAAATCATAGCATAATTATATCATTAACTAACTAATTAAGGGGATATATTATACGGGACATAGGGACGTTGGGGGTGCTGGCCGCTCTGGCCTTGGCTAGAATATCTTGAGATTGAAAGTAAGGGCATGTTCGGTTGAACTATGGCTTTTGAAAAAATTGTTGGAGCTATGGGCTGTGAAAAAGTTCCTGTGGGCAATCGGCAATGAGTTGTGATAAAGCTGAAAGCCGTTTGGTTGAACAGCTGTGGCTTTTAAAAAAAATGATGACAACCTCTCACTTACGAGCAGACCCCACAAGTCATGCACCGCTCTCCCCACTCAACTCTCTTCCTCTCTCACTGACGAGTAGACCCCACACGTCAGCATCTTCTTCTTGGAGACTATGATTTGGCTAGTTATGAAAGTAAAGCAAACATACCCTAATTTGGCAAGTTCTGAAAGTAAAGCAAACATGCTCTAAAAGTCTCTTTGGTAGGGCTTCACCAAACTACAACTTCAAAACGATGAAGCTTTTGTAGCTACGAAAGCGAGAGTCATGTGAAGCTTCAAAACAATGACAACAACCTCTATCTAATTTTATTTTTCATCTGTTCGCCACACTTATTTTAGCTATGGTTGCGGCTATTTCTAGTAGTAACTATAGTAGCTATGGTTGTCATCCTATTCGCTTGAACTTATCAGCCTGACTTATCAGTCATGACACAATATTTTTCTCTCCTAATAAATTAGCTTTAGCAGTAGCTCGCGGCCACAACTGCAGGTGCAGCAAACGACTTGAGTACAGTAACTATGTCAGGAAGAGCCAAAGCCTTTTTGGGGGCCCATGCCAGAGAGGCCAATTTCTGCCGTTTCCTCTTGATGACTATCACGGCCACGGCTGCGGGCACTGTATAAGTCTCGATGGAGTCAACGAGTAGATCTCCACACACACACAAAAAAAAAAGGAAATTCTAGAAAGGACGCACACGACGCAGCACGTCACAGTCTCACCCGCTTGGCGCGCGCGCCATCTTATCTTTCTAGATGCCCAGTCCAGAACTAGCAGGCACACAAACAGTGCTTAAGTGCCAACAGTAAAATCACGAGAAACTGGGGGTTAAATCTACCGATCACGTAAAGGTGATTAGCGCGTAATCGTACCAGTAGCGAGTCGCAAATCAGACAACCCGTGCTTCCCCGTGGGCAGTGATGAAAATGGGACGAATATTTTCAGACCGTATTCGAGATCGAATCCGTTTAGAGGGTTTAAATCTGTTCATATTTAAGTCTGGATATTCAACATCCGATACCGTATCCGTATCCGAATATTCAAATCATATATTTATGATGTCGATATCTAATCATATCCTATCCGATATGATTGACACTTAAATCCAAATACAAACAAAAATATATATATATAAAAACAAATATAATATATCGGTTCGTGTTTGATCCGTTTTCGACCCGGCCGACGACGCCCTTCGTTTAAACCCCCCGCCTCCGCCCCTTCCAGAACAGACCGGACCTCGTCGCTCACGCTGTCCAACTGCTATATAAACGGCACGTCCCCGGCCATTCAGCGCCACGATTGCAGAGCTAGAGAGAGACGCGCGACTCCTTTTCGGCCATTCATTGGTAGCTAGCTTACACGTTCACGCATCACTTTCCGGGCTGTCTGTGGTGGTTTAGCTCAGCAGAGCAGGGCGGGGAAGGAAGAAGAAGATGACCTCCGTGAACGCGAGGCCCGTTGGCGTGGGGTACTACTTCGGCGGCGGGGCGAGGTGCCAACGACGGTCGCGGGTGCGGGTGTCGGCCGCGCCCGCGAGGGCGGCGACGATGTACGAGGTGCTGGCCGTGGAGGAGACGGCGGGGCCCGATGAGATCAAGGCGGCGTATCGGCGCGCCGCGCGGCGGTGGCACCCGGACGCGTGCCCCGGCGGCGCCGACCGCTTCATGGCAGCGCGGGAGGCCTACGAGGTGCTGTCCGACCCGGAGCGCAGGCGCGGCTACGACGTCCAGCTCCGCTGCGGCGCCCGCTTCGGCGACGCCGGGTACCGCGCGGCACGCCGCGCCGGGTTCGCCGACTGGGAGGCGCAGCTGGCCGGGCTACAGTGGTGCGCGGCGGAGCGCCGCGGGCGCGCCAGCGGGGAGACTTGGGGCAGCAGGATGCGCCGGGCGGCCGCCCCGGTAGCGGCGTCGCCGGTGGCTGGCCCTTGACAGTTGATATAGTGCTAGTACTTTTTTTGTTTTCCCTTTTCTCTTCGACAATCGAATGGCTCGAGAAGCTGTAATTGCGCTGTTCTATAGCGTTTTCCCCCTGCCAATCGCCCAAGTTGCCATCCTCGTCGCACTGTTTGGAGTGTAGAGGAGCTCAAAGTCAATACGGTGAATAGAAGCAGTAGACATTTTCTTCCCTCCTACATGCTGAAACTTTAGCAGCTCTGCGGAGTGTTGAAAGGGCTATTCAACTTGGCATGAACCGTGTTATCTTAGAGAGATGCAGCCATTCTCTGTGATGCTCTTAGAACAACAACTTGGGATAGGAGTCCATATGGTTGCTTATTTAGACAAATTAGAGATTATGCTGTATGAATTTAACACTTGTGTAATCTCTGTTTGTAATAGAACCTGCAATCAATTGGCACACTATCTAGCTGCTTACTGTGCATGTATGGAGGGTGTTGAAGCTTGTATGTATACTGATCATGCACCAGACTTTGTATATCTCATTTGGTTTCTGGCGACATGCCTAGAGCCAATGTTTAATGGAAGTTTTCTCTTAAAAAAACTCCAGAAATGAGAAATCAAACCCGGGTCGCTGGCTCACGGAGCCACTGGGAGCTGTTTGGGTACGCGCCCACGACCGCGCTGTGCGGTAGCGGGTGGGCGTGATGTGAGAAATCGGACTCCCAATTTAATCCCGTAGTTTGTGAGTCTTGAATGGTGAAAAGAATCATCAAAATCGTGAGGCATTTAACAGGATTTTTTTCAATTATTGTGGTAGAGCGGTAATCGGTTCCAAACAGTATCGAAGACTCACAAGCCCTACTTGTTGGATCAAACTTAAATAAAGAAATTAGCACAACTATTAGAGAGAGACTTACACATACTTTCCCTGTCTTTTTTAATTATCGTTATGGTACTCTCGCTGATCAATTTTTTTATTTGATTAGGTTTGTGAAATATTAGCAATATTTAGATCTCTAAATAAGTTTATTATAAAAATAGATTCAACGATAAATATTAATATATTCTTGTATATATTTGATTAAAGTTGAGTATATTTAACTTTTCAGGAAGTGAGAACGATAGTTAAAAATAGACGAAAGAAGTATCTTAAACGCTTAGCTCGAAAAAGGCACCGTCGAGAAAGTTGAATCAGTATTACTAGCCCGGCTGTCTCATTTCTTTTCTTAAACTAAGTTTGTTTATTAACTGGATTTACTTTAAAAAATTATTAATATTTATGACATCGAATAAGTATAGTATAAAAATATATTTTATAGTGTATTTAATAATACTTAAATTTTAATTTTTTTCTATACATTTAGTATAAAAGTTTTTCTATACAATTAATATAAAAAATTCAAATTACTCTCTCCAAGTTTGTCCCATGTTCGAATAACCCTTAAACTAACATTTAGTTCAATTTACTCCCTCAATTATTTTAGTTAGTTCAATTTACATCTTAAAAAGATTTTTCTTTTTTTTTCTTTATGTACAAATTTGATATTAAAATTCAAGTTATATGTGAAGAAACAAAAATAACAAATCCTATTAAGGTGTAAAATAGATGAACTTAAATACTTGAGGAGAATAATCGAACATTAGGTTAGGGGATTTATGGGGACAAATGTCAAACTTGAAAGGAGCAATTTAGACCTTTTCCTTTAATATATGCACGGAGTTGTAGAGTTGTCTCAACTCCCAAGCGAAGAACATCACTCAATGTCTCAATCAAACACTCAGCCCGGCCTAGATTATGGGGAGGAAGTATTAAATATATGCCTTTTATCTTCTTATATCTTTACAAAAATTCCAGAGTTACTCAAAAGACTGTTGGAGTTCGAAATTTAAAATATACCACCATTTGTCCTAAATTATAGGTTATTTTGCCTTTCTAGATATGTAGCTTTATTTTTTACGAAAACTAGATATGTAGCTTTTGATACACATGTAGATATATGATATGTTTAGATACATATAAATATTGTGTATCTAAAAAATCAAAATTACCTATAAATTGGAATGGAGAGAGTATAACAATGGACACCTCCCGTAAGCTTGGGTTGTTCCTTGCAACTCTTACTTTATTCCAAATCAAGAGGCAAAAGACCCCTTCCATGCCCTCTATCCACTCGCTTAATACTGTTCACCTCCCAAAATGTGCATGTCGATCAAACTGTAGAATGAAGATGATCAACTGGACCGATTGCATTGATCGTATACGGTATACATTTATAGGTTACAATGGCCTTTGGCCATGACTACACACACTACACACGTGTGAGTGGGCGAGCGCCCAAAACGGAGAGTGGGCGCCGTGAAGACCGGGCGCGTGTGTGCGCGCGGTAAAGCGCGCTCTCCAGAGGCCGTTGGCGCGGCGAGTGCGTGAGGAGCGCTCGGGAGCGCAGGACGTGGGCAACGCAGGAGACCCGGACGAGCTCTAGCCGTTGGAGACGTTGATCCGCTGACACCCCCCGCAGTCTTGATGTCGATCATGGTGACGGAGAGGCTGTCCCTGAAGTCGTTGAACAACGCCAAAGGAAGGCCTTTGGTGAACCTATCAACGAGTTGCCGCGCACTGGGAACATGCGTGACACGGAGCTCACCAATGGCGACCTTCTCTCGGACGAAATGAATATCAAGCTCTATGTGCTTGGTTCGCCGGTGGTGCACTGGATTCCAGGCCATATACATGGAGGAGATGTTGTTGCAGAAGGCGATCGTCGCGGAGGGAACCTTGCAGAGCAGCTCGGCAAGGAGGTGACGAAGCCAGGAGCACTCGACAACGGCGTTCGTGATGGCTCGATACTCCGCCTCGGTGCTCGACCTCAAGACCGTAGTCTGGCGCTTAGAAGACCACAAAATGAGGGAGTTGTCGAGGAAGACGCAGAATCCCGATGTAGATCGACGCGTGTCGGGGCATCCAGCCCAGTCCGCGTCTGAGTAGGCGGTGATCGTCGGCGTCGTGGCGGCGCGCAGCTGAACCCCAAGGCCAATTGTCCCTTTGATGTATCTGAGGATGCGCGTCAGCATGGTCTGGTGCACGTCTTGTGGCGCGTGCATGTGCAGACATACTTGTTGCACGGCGTATGCAATATCCGAACGAGTTATCGTTAGATACTACAGGGCGTCGGCGATGCTCCGGTAGGAGGTAGAATCGTCGATGAGCTCGCCGTCTGTCGCCGAAGCCTTTTGCTTTGTGTCTACTGGTGTTGCGACAGGCTTGCAGTTCTTCATTCCAGCGCGCTCTAGAAGTTCTTCGGGCGTACTGGCCTTGGGAGAGGAAGAAGCCCTCACGATTCCGGCGAACGCTGATGCCGAGAAAGTGATGGACTTGTCCCATGCCCTTCATGGTGAATGCGTCGTTGAAAGGTCCTAATATGGCTAGAGGTGGGTGAATAGCCTATTAAAAAATCTACAAACCAACTAGAGCAATTTGATTAGTATAACAAATAGCGAAATGCAAACTTGTTCTAGCTCTACAAGGGTTGCAAGTCACCTATCCAACAATTCTAGTTACTATGATCACTAGACACTCAATTTACTAAGTCACTACTCACTAAGAGCTCTCACACTTGCTACACTAAAGAGCTCCACTAGATGAACTCAAAACAACAAAGCAATCTCTTAATTCTAACTACACTAAAGAGCTTGCTACAACTAGTTTGTAAGAATATAAATGAGTGAGTAGGGTGATTATACCGCCGTGTAGAGGAGTGAACCAATCACAAGATGAACATTAAATCAATCACCGGGAGAATACCAAAGGGAAAGAGACAACCAATTTTCTCCCGAGGTTCACATGCTTGCCAACACGCTATGTCCCTGTTGTGTCGACCAACACTTGGTGGTTCGGCGGCTAAGAGGTGTTGCACGAACCTCGTCCACACAATTGGACACCAAACCTACCCACAAGTGAGGTAACTCAATGACATGAGCAATCCACTAGGGTTACCTTTCGGCTATCCGCCGGGGAAGGTACAAGTCCCCTTATAATCACCGGGAGATGACCACGAACAATCACCAACTCATGCCAATCCTCCTCCACTACACCAAGCCATCTAGGTGGTGGCAACCACCAAGAGCAATAAGCGAATCCAACAGTGAAACACGAACACCAAGTGCCTCTAGATGCAATCACTCAAGCAATGCACTTGGATTCTCTCCCAATCTCACAAAGATGATGAATCAACGATGGAGATGAGTGGGAGGGCTTTGGCTAAGCTCATAAGGTTGCTATGTCAATGCAAATGGCCAAGAGAGTGAGGTTGAGCTGGCCATGGGGCTTAAATAGAAGCCCCCACGAAAAAGAGTCGTTGGCTCTCTATTCTCTGAAAAGTCGGGGCGACCGGACGCACCGGACGCAGGACCCTAGCGTCTGGTCACGCGATGCACGCCACGTGTCCCCTGCTTCAAATGTTGATCGCCCGATCTCAACGGTCATCAGTACATTTAAGTTGTGACCGGACGCGTGGTTGAAAGTGACCGGACGCAGGACCCCAGCGTCCGGTCGTTTCCAGTAAGGTTCCACTCGTGACCGGACGCGTCTGGTCACCACCGACCAGACTTGTCCAGCGTTCGATCACTCACTGTCTCCTCTGTGCGCCGCCACAGTAGCATGACTGGATGCTGAACAGTGTTCAGCCTACGTCTGGTCACCTGCATCCGGTCAAGAGACCGAGGGCGGCCTTCACTACGCGCCACTGATCGGACGCAGGACCCCAGCATCTGGTCACTGCGTGACCAGCGTTCGGTGCACTCTGTGAAACCCTGTCTTTTCTGTACAGGGCGCCGGTGGAGTTTTGAACCCTTGCTCCCAAGTGCTAAACACAATTTGTATCACCTTTGTGCATGTGTGTTAGCATATTTTCACAAACATTTTTAAGGGTGTTAGCACTCCACTAGATTCTAAATGCATATGCAATAAGTTAGAGCATCTAGTGGCACTTTGATAATCGCATTTTGATACGAGTTTCACCCCTCTTAATAGT